TACATGTAAATAAATTTGGCACTTCATTATGGTCTTCCATTTTATAAATGCCACTAAGATTATGGATAAATTGTCAATGCAAATACTTTCAAATAGGCAGCAGTCTTAATGGTATTTATAATTTGCTTTGATAAGACAAGCACCAAACAAATTGTATGTTATGTACTTTCTTTTCTCATACAAATGTTAACAATTCACAAACACTCATAATTTTCTTATAATAAGTACAGCTCTGAGTATTCCATGTGTTAATGTAATTTATTTTCTTTTTTTTTTAAGTTTTTCAAATGTTTGATCTACTGAGAAGCGAGAAGATCCTGTACTTTTCTTTCAACAAAGATACATTTTACCCCACATTTTGCATGCAAAAATGACCATTAAATAAAGCTACATATTAATAAAGACATTTAGAGGTGCAATATAAAAAGTTACAAGTGAAGGAAAAGTACACGTTTTGACAACTAAAATTTTGTGATTTCAGACTATCATTTGTAAGAGGGCTACAATTTATTTATGTTGAACAGAGAAACTGCTAACGATTAATTGACAGAAAATGCAGCTCAGCTTTACAAATGTACAACTAGTGACTGAAACAGTTTATGAAAGAAGTGTATTCTCTATATTTAATTCGACAACCAAATAAGTGAATAGGTGGCTCAGAAAAAATAGTGAACATACACAAAAATCTGTCTGTATGGAAAAAAAAAAAAACAAAGCTGGCTTTGGGTACTCCCATAATACTGATATTTGGCGGGTTATACAAAAGAGCTGGTGAATTCTTTCTCAGCCAGGTTTACAATACAGAGGAAACCACACTCAGCATTCAAAACCTGAGCAAGACATAACGGCAAAAATCATCGACCACATACAAGAGAAATCGGCGAATCCTTCTTGTCAAATACAGAAAATGGAAAAAGCACATTAGAGACAGTTTACTGTGAACCTTAAATTTATCTCTTTTAATAACAGTTGCTCATATCTAAAATGTTGAAAGGCCATTGCATTTCACTAAGTAACAGATTAAAATTTAACAAGGCACAATTCACCATCATTTAAGTCTGATTTAGTGGAATTTATATGACAAAAATCCTTAGGATGCTTTTACTGCCATATTAAAAACAATCACAGAAACATGGGGGCTATAAAGTGCATATTAGAAGTAAGCATGAATTTGGCAATAATTCTGGTGCCAACTTAATGTTTAAAAACTGGGGGGTCATAGTATAACAAATTTTATACTTTGTGAGTTTTACAGTTTACTGGGGGTCATAGAGTCTAACAAATTTTATACTTTGTTTATACAAGTTTTACAGTTTACTTAATATAGTTATTTATATATTTTACTCTTATATTCACTGCTTGATACTTAAATTATGCTAAGAAGCTTGATAGTTAAATTATGCTAATAAGAAGAGTGAGACTATGCATAAGATTAAGACACAATAACATGTCGAACAAATACTAATTCAGAAGTCAAGCAACAAAAATTAGCGTTATATTTTCAAATTTTCACAGGACTAATTTCAATGGTTTTACTGAACCAAAGATGGATTGGTAATCCATCTTCGGCCTTTAAAGAAATTATGCTTTAGTTCTGGTTTAACCAACAGATGGCGCCACTAGCTTATTTTCTGTCCAGGCTTTCTTATCTTATCTGATCATTATATCCTATCTCCTTCATTTGCGCTTTTGCAGCTGATGATGGTGGTTCGGTAAAACCATCGAAACTAGTCCTGTGAAAATTTGAAAATATAACGCTGATTTTTGTTGCTTGACTTCTGAATTATGCATAGGATTGTATGCTGCATTCAATGTCAGTTATAAGTACTGCGTTTAATTCTACTCATTTTGCACACATATTAGATCTCATGTAAGTAGTCTTATGCATGCATAATTAGTGGTCAATTCTGCTAATCAACCAGTTAGCATGCATAAGAAAGTAAGTTTTTCAATTTTTGAAGTATTATGTTCAGCTCTATGGTTACTCAGCAGCTTTTAACTTCAATGAAACACACATAAGAATACTTCTACAGTAGTACCCCAGTATCTGCAAGTAATATGTTCCAAGATTTATAAGTAGCAAGTGCTATATAAAACACCATATTCTGCTTTTACTTTATCAGAGTGATATTATTACATGAAAATTTTCACCTTATCCCCTTCGCACAAATTTTTCATGTTGCGGAACTATGTTCATCTTTTCCTTCCTATTTGAAAAGCACTTTCTCTGCAATCACCTTTCATTGCTGCTTCTAAAATTATTTTGATGGCTGTCACCACGATCATTATTAAGTAGATGTTAGTAATTTTCGTTTAAAGCTTCCTCGGAGTAAAAAAAGGTTAATCTTTGGATTATGGTAACTTGGCAATTTTTAGCGAAAATTTGGCAACCAAACCTGCTACATCAACCTTCTACTTTTTTTTTCGGCGCCATTTTGTCTTCACGAAGTAAAGACAGGTTTCTTTTTTTTTTATTTACTCAACATTTTTTCTAACAATCTGCTAGCCGAATTACGCTTATGCTAGAAATTTTAAGGAACAAAAGTGCTTAATCATGACGAATATTAATTGCAAAATTGGGAGAAAGTGCAGAATCGCAAACTACTTGCCGCATTTTTCAGAATGGCACATACACGGTAAACATGTACACGTCGACCTATTTTTACTTAAAAAAAAACATCCCAGAATTGCACAAAAATGGCATTGCGCACACTCTTGACTTTATCCATGTACACTGCTTTTTTCTCATAAATTAGAAAAATTTGCACGAAAATGCAGGAAAATTTTGTGAATCGGTAAAAAGGACATATATGAAATTACCTGATCACGAAAAAGTATATACCCTTTCCAAGGATTAACATTTGCACGTATAAAATAAATAAAATATCCAAAAACTTTTCCCTCTAAATTATCTATTATGAACGTCACCTGCGAGTTTATAACGCAAACATTAAAAATGGTTGCAAATACTTAGTGTCAAATATTTAAATTATTTTCCTTGCACGTTTACTTCTACTGAAACGTATTCCAAAATGCTACAAACATATAATTCACAAAATAATTATCATTTAATTAAAATATAAATAAATTATAAAAACACTACTTAAAATATAAACAAACACATACATTAAATTAATAAAAATTAGCTTAAAATCTTAATTACTTTAAACTAATTCATTGCTAAAAATTTTCCAATAATAGCATATTAATTTATTTATTCCTTATATTTAGAACAATGCATAAAAATAATATCCTCAAATGATTAAAAATACTAACTTACCTAATCTTCTACAGAATCTTGAGTGCATGGCAGATCACAAAATGTCCATTTTCACCAGATTTCTTGCACTGCCATTCAAACTTATCTGTAATATCCTTCCTTTCACACAATCTCATTTCATTCCCACATGTTGGACATTCATACTTATCCGTAATTAATTCTACACTCATACACCATTCAAGCAATTATTTTGAATTATCAGATAAATGCAATAAAAATTTCGAATTCACTTTAGATAGGGCCATGGGATCCAAAAATTAAGCAACACTGTTTCACACAACACAGAATGAAGCTAAATACAAAATGCTATAAAGTACTGCAGATATTTTCCAAATTTCCCCTCCCCCTTTTCCGATTAAAGAGCTGTCATTCGTCCATAAATGTCACATGACATATCTCATGATCTCTCAGACAAAATAATCCGTAGTTTGAACTGGGTACTTCTCATGTTATTGCCAAAGTCCTAGGTAGTAACCTCTATCGCCTACCAAAATGTCGCCAAACTGCCTGTTACAATATTCCATCCAAAGATTAGCCGAAAAAAAATATAATAAAAGTAGGTAGATGTTGAAATAATGTGGTGATTTCTTAAAACCCTTTACCTGAATTACAAATTCTTTCTTCTGAATATAATTCCATATGGCAATTTAGGATCTAATTATTCTTCACCTACCTCGATGATTCACCGAGCTGAACATTATAAAATAATGTTTCATGCAAAACTTGTCACAGCTTAAAACGGACTGCCACCTCTAGCTACGCAATTAATAAGCATGAGCTATTTGCAAGATTATTTTTACTAATACAGAAATTTGCCAAAAAATCAGCAACCCGATAAACAGAAAGTACCACTCTCTTTTTAATCAACTGAAAAAAACAAAAAAACTTATCTTCCAAGCTTTCCTTACATAAAAAATATCACAGCTAAAGAACAAAAATCAATAATTTCACTTAGTATTAGATTTGAAATTTTGAAAATAAAGGGTGGAAACTGAAAAAGCCCATCTAAGTATTTCAGGACTTACTGGTTTTATTGGCAACCAAAGATACCAAGGAAAATATGTTGCCAAGTTTGGGCACCTTGCCAATTAAAAAAATGGAATTTTAACAGAAATTTAAAACAAAAGAACTTGCTTTATTTACAAATACAAGCTCCTATTTAAAGAAACTGTAATTTATGGGTGGCTATAAATTAGCAACAGCAACTTACCACTGTCATTTATGGACTGATGTGAAGGTCTTTCTTTTTCAGATTCTTCACATTGCATCTCCATTTGTTTATTTTCAACTGGTAGTTAAGTGAAAAATCATCATTCTGAATAATAATAATAAAAATATACATATTTTTAATTCTGATTATTTGGCTTTGGCTTAGTTATACTATCATTTTGAATAATAATATTTAAAAAAAAAAAACTGTTAACTTGGTTTTAGTTTTAGGCTAGATACATAATAATATGATAAACATACTAAACTTGGTGATTAATCACTGGCCGCCAATAACCCTGACTAGTACTGTACTTCATATTTGTAATACATGATTAGTTTTTATTCATGATATTGATATATTATTCATTCAAAATTTCTGTCCAGTACTCCTATTAATTTAAAAGAAGGTTTTTTTGAATCGTTTCCAAATCCATAAATTCTGTCATATTACAATAAATTTGGAGTAAAGCTTTCAGTGAGAAAAAGCAAAATGAAACATGCTACAAAAAACTCTAATTTAGAAAAGATAATTCATTAATAGATTTATACATATTGTTACAATCTCTGTGCATAATTTTATATTTCTGTACAGTATAATAATAACATATATAATATATTATTTCATAAATATTCAGTGTGATCGTGCAATTTCAGAGAAAAAGTCTAATATATCATTGATAGAAAATTCTAAACTTATCTTAGCACCAGGATAACATCTTTCAATTAATGATTCTATATATTTATATTGCCTAATAAACTCATCTTGCATGGAATGCCAAACTACTTGGAGTAAGTTTTCTTCTTCACATAAATGTTTCTCCACTTTTTTATACAAACTTTCCAATCCTTTTTTCACCTCTTTTCCAGGATATTCTTTGATGACTTTTCTTAATTCTTGCTTACTGAAGGCCAAATGATACCAATTTTCATTTCCTTCACAACCCTTACTTATTCGAACACCTTCAAAAAATAAATTCTTTTTCTAAAGGTCTGCCAAAATACTGAGTAACATAGGCCTGCAGAGCATCATTGTATTTTGCTTGGCATCTTTACGTTCTGTTTCTAAACCGGGATTTTTAACTGAAACAGAAGTAAAAAGATGATGGAAATTTTCCATCTGTAAACCCCTGGGATTTTTTGAATGCTCTAAAGTACCTTCACAACTTCATCAAACATTACTTTGACAAGTTTGGAATACCACCTTCTAAATCAGTCCTCCTGTCTGAGTTTTTTGAATATCTTTTCAGCTTGGCTGGCAAATGTTTCAAAATTTGAAACAAATTGTAAAATGCCACATTTTGATTTCTTCGACACGTTACCTCTTCAATAGATCTTATCTGTGACTGCAATAAATTTATCAAAATTACGTTTTGCTTGCACTAAAACATTAGCAAATGTCATACTGAGATAGGATCCAGTGTCTTGAGCTGACATGACATGTTGACTCAGTCGAACTAACACATACATAGAATAGAACCCATCGATTTTAATCAAAATGGGAAATGAAATTCACCACTCTGGTTCCTAAGGCAACATTCTCCCCATCATCTTTCTCAATTCCACATTAATTTGTTTCTCTTTCTTGAGAGCACTCATCAGCATTCTTCACTACCTGCACAACTAAGGCTCTGATTGCTTGTTGTTGGACTCACCCCAGGAGCTGAAGGCACTGTAACTTTGATTGCTATGAACGAGGCAATGTCACTGTAAACCAAAAAACTGCATGCAGAATTGCTGCTCATAAAGGCAAACTGGTTTAATGCACTTACAAGTTTTCTAAATTTTTGTCAATATTTCCCATTCCATTACATCCAAATCAGAGCCATACTGCTCTGGATCCATACCTAACAATGACAGAGACTTGACTTTAACAGAAGACTTTAAACTAGATCTTGATTAGAACCAGATTTTTTATGCTTTTTCTTTTTTCTCCCTTTCAAAACGTTCCTAATAAGTTTCTTCTCCATTTTGATTACAAAAGCTTCGAAATTATCTTGATATTACTAAAATTTTTCAGTTCATTTCAGAGTAGAATCTAAGTAAAAATCTACACTCATTCCTATGTAAGAATAAATTTAGATGAATAAATAAACTGAACACCAGGATAACTGATTAAAAAACCACCCCATGTTTTTCCACTTTTTTATACAAAACCCCCCCCCCTTTTTCACCTCTTTTCCAGGATATTCTTTGATGACTTTTCTTAATTCTTGCTTACTGAAGGCCAAATGATACCCAATTTCATTTTCCTTCACACCCTGAGCTACTTTATTCTGAACACCTTCAAAAAATAAATTCAATTTTTCTAAAGGTCTGCCAAAATACTGAGTAACATAGGCCTGCAGAGCATCATTGTACTTTTGCTTGGCATCTTTACGTTCTGTTTCTAAACACGGGATTTTTAACTGAAACAGAACAGTAAAAAGATGATGGAAATTTTCCATCTGTACAACCTCCTGAGGAGTTTTTGAATGCTCTAAAGATACCTTCACAACTTCATCAAACATTACTTTGACAAGTTTGGAATACCACCTGTCTAAATCAGTCCTCCTGTCTGAGTTTTTGAATATCTTTTCAGCTTGGCTGGCAAATGTTTCAAAATTTGAAACAAATGGTAAAATGCCACATTTTGATTTCTTCGACACTTTAGCCTCTTCAATAGATCTTATCTGTGACTGCATAAATTTATCAAAATTACGTTTTGCTTGCACTAAAACATTAGCAAATGTCATACTGAGATAGGATCCAGTGTCTTGAGCTGACATGACATGTTGACTCAGTCGAACTAACACATACATAGAATAGAACCCATCGATTTTATCAAAATGGGAAATGAAATTCACCAACTCTGGTTCCAAACTGGCAAACAGTTCTCCCATCATCTTTCTCAATTCCACATTAATTTGTTTCTCTTTCTTGAGAGCACTCATCAGCAGTTCTTCACTACCTGCACGACTAAGGCTCTGATTGCTTGTTGTTGGACTCACCCCAGGAGCTGAAGGCACTGTAAGCTGTTGATTGCTATGAGACGAGGCAATGTCAGACTGTAAACCAAAAAACTGCATGCAGAATTGCTGCTCAGAAAGGCAAACTGGTTCTAATGCACTTAACAAGTTTTCTAATATTTTGTCAAATATTTCCCATTCCATTACATCCAAATCAGAGCCATACTGCTCTGGATCCATACCTAACAATGACAGAGACTTGACTTTAACAGAAGACTTTAAACCTAGATCTTGATTAGAACCAGATATTTTATGCTTTTTCTCCCTTTCAAAACCATTCCTGTTAATAAGTTTCTCTTTTGCAAGTTCAAAAAGTGATTTTATTTCTTTTTCATAAAGCTTCGACAGCGAGGAAGTATAAACTCTACACAGCTGAGTATAACTACTAGGTTCAGTAATTTTCACCCAGTTCATTAATTCTGTATATGGAAGAAGTTCTTTGTGGCATAAAGTATGTTTTGGAAGTGTAAGGTCATGTGTATAAGTAAAATTTTCTTCACACTCATTTCCTAAATGTAAGAATAAATTATTTAGGTGATGGCTTAGACGCAATATAAACTTGTTTTTCAACTTATCAAGTTCAGCTTTTTGTTCAGCATAGGCTGCCATTTTCATAAGTCCTGGATTGATCTGGGCATTTGCTGCTTCTTGTAATGCTTTCGCAGCAGAAGTACATGTAGCAATGCCAGAAGGAGTTTTCAAATCTCCGTCCAATGCTTGCCTTAAACTATCCGGTAAATCAAGCACACTTATCATATTTTCAAGCTCATGTAAAAGTTTAATATTATTTCTATGCTGTATCTTCATATGTGCATCTTTTTCTTCCATCTGTATCACACTATCTTTAACATTTTTCAAAATATCATCATACACATCTAACCGACTTTCTAACTCACAAATTTCATCATAGGAAGTTTGAAGCATATTCATCAGCCCCTGCACCTTCTGCTCCGATGCCATAATGGAACGAATATTCGCAGCATCTAATTCTGAAAGCTCCCTAGAAAGCTGCTCCGTAAACTCTTCTGCATTACCTATAACAAAATCATACTGAGCCATAAGCGATTCTAAGTCAGATTCTTCTCTTGCAGTTAAAGCCTGATAATCTTCAGGTTCTAGAACAGAAGATTCTTCACCAATCTGAGGTGTAACAACCCCCATTTTCGCTGGACTATCTTTATCTTGCAATAATTCCTTAGGGATGTTAATAAATGTTGGCTTTTGACGGGGCAGATGGCTACAGAATTTCCATAAGCATTTTATAAAAGCATGCTTTTCAGAAACATTACTCGCTATCCATTTATAAACCTTTTCAAAATGCAAATCAAATTCAGCAGTCGGCTTCTTTTCATCTTTACCGTCGACTAACTTCAATTCACGTAATTGCCAAGAGCACTTTTTCTTATACCCTTCTTTGTCCGACTTCTTTACTTGACTTATAGTGATTATTGACGGTTTCTCGTTATTTACTGCTAGACATAAAAAGGCAGTCTTCTTTTTTTTGCTAGCTTTAGCAACATTAACAACGCCCACTAACCTTTCATCGTTCGGCAAGAAAACCTCTTTATGCAAACTGTGGCGAATAGCAGCCATAATTTTGCTGCTAGAAATAACTCACCCACGATTTCGTTGCATTACATTTAAACTTTATTATCACCAACGATCATCTCATTTTAAATATTTCCAATTTCGGTAATAAATAAAAATTATTGCTATCATACGGCTGCGGAAGCAAAATAGTAAACAATAGTAGTGTTGAGAAGAATCGAGTCTACTTCTACCATAAATTTTTACATGGGTCGCCTACACATTCCAGTGGCACATTACCTAAAATAGGACACGAGGTTTTATAATTATGTTTAACGTTATGGAATGGAGCTGCAATGATAGCTGTGTACATATTTTTTTCTCCTTTTTGTAAATGAGATGGCAATATGAATTGTTAATATTGATAAAACTAGAGAGCTCATTTGAACGAATACCATTACCTGAAGAGTTGTTTTACTTTATCTTTCTTTTCATGACTATTGACAGGCTAATACAATCAGTTAGACATCTTTGTATACAGAAAATCCATAGTGATTATCTTCACCAAGAGAAAAAAATTACTGTCAATTTTAGCATGTACCACCTGTACATGTACACTTAGCAATGTAGCCCGTAGTACAGAGGTGTTTTGCTAGGGTCAATAATTTTCTAAGAATGTTTTTTACATATGTTCAGTGGATTTTTTGGGCACTTGGAAAAACTGACAACATGATCACCGCCACAGTTGCAAAAGGTCAGGTTTTTTTATCCATTTTACGTGATAGTCCGAACTTTTGTGTGTGTGTGTTGTATCTGGATATTATCGTAATAAAATGTCGCCCATTCTGAACATTACCGACTAATCTTTCTGTATATCAATGTATTTTTCGGTTGCCTTTTCTGATCCCATTTGCCTTATGTGTTCATTCTTTCTGTGTCATGCTGTTCTTGAAGAGCATCCTGTCAAGGCCAACTAGTTGGCCTTGATCCTACACATGCATGTTTTTTTTAATTAACCTGAGTGCATTTCTTGAACGTTTGAACTCATACTAATGAGCTATCCTGAACTAATTTTGAAGTTTAGTATTTTATACCTAAATCACTCGGGCTTCTGAATAATTAAGTTTTATAATCAGCTTCCACAGATGTTGGTCACCGTGACTGCGTATTGTAGTAATTATACGTCGGTTGATCCAAAAAAAAAGTTTACAAGCAAAAGCATTTGAAACGTAATAATTGTGGAGCGAATATTTCCACCCAGGGTAGTTGGCAGATGGCGCTAGTTGTCCTACAGCGGTTCTACGAGTAAGTAGCGTCAGTACGCCGACACTTAAGAGCAACAGTAATGGCACGACGTCTAGAAAAGTGGTCTCGCATAGAGGTGCGAGCCGTAATTCGATCCTTATGGGCCAAGAATGTGGCCGCATCCGAAATTCACAGACAAATCGTTGAGGTATACGGGGACAAAGCAATGAGTAGACAAGAGGTAGCGAAATGGTGTCGTTCTTATCAAGCGGGCAGGGAGCATGTGGAAAACCGCAATATGGAAGCGAGCGGCCGTCCAAGTTTTTAAAGGACGGATATCAACACGGGACGTGTTGAAGAAATCAACCAAAGGGATCGACGAGTAACCGTGCGTGAGATGCCTCAGAGTTGGACCTGAGTTATGGTAACGTTCAGCGTATCGTAACCGATGGGTTTCGATATTCCAAAGTTTGTGCCCGCTGGGTTCCACGTGCGTTGTCCGCGGAACATAAGGCCACTCGAATGATGTGCAGCCTCACATTTCTTCAACGATACCATTCATACGACCAACACTTCATTGATCGCATCGTTACCGGTGATGAAACATGGCTTCATCACTTCACCCCCACATCCAAAACAGCCACGATGGATCACCGACGAGGAAGAACTTTAAGGTCACACCCTCTGCCGGTAAAGTGATGGCAACCGTTTTCTGGGAACCGTTTTCCTGGTGTTATCCTAATCGAGTATTTGGAGCGTGGCCATACAATTAAGGCCGATAGTTATTGTGCCACGAAATTGCATAAAGCCATCCGACGCAAACGGCCTGGATTACTGAGCAAAGGCGTCATTCTTCTGCATGACGATGTCAGGCCCCATACAGCTCGCCAGACTCAGGAATTGCTGCAAAGGTTCAAGTGGGAGGTCTGGAATCACCCACCCCCATACAGCCCCGATTTGGCTCCAAGTAACTATTTCATTTTTCCGGCGTTGAAGCGATACTTATCCGGAACACGGTTCACCTCAGACGATGCAGTGAAAACAGCTGCCGAGAAATGTCTCAATGAGCAGGGCCCTGATTACTACCAAGACGGGATAAACAAGTTGGTCGAACGTTCTGACAAATGCCTAAACAGGTTTGGCGACTATGTGGAAAAGTGAAGGCCAGATGTGTCTCTTGATTCCCATTTGTATCTTGTTTCTGTTGTTAATAAATACCTTTTCATTTGCCTTGTAAACCTTTTTTTGGATCACCCCTCGTACCAAAGAATCTATAGGGTTCTCCTATAGTTTCTTTGATTATACCATTCAGCTCCCTGTATGTGTATGCAGTAGACGCAGCTTCTTGGGATTACGTTTGTCCATTGTTAGTTGAATAATATTAAACGATTAAACGAAAAAGAAAAAGTACTTTATCTGTTTCATAGTGTCAAATGGTAATACAGTTCTTATAGTGTTTATACTGTTATTTTGTATTTTGCGTTCATATTTTATTTCTGTTTCATGTTTTTATTCAACTTATTTCATTTTTTTAACTCGTAAAGAATTATTTCCTCTGCCGTTTTTGTGTAGCGTTAACTGCGTATGTAAATACGTTTAGACTTAGATACAATTCCTTTTTCCGTAATTCCAATATAAGACAGCTTAAATTACAAGTAACTGCTATGTGTTTGCCGCAGTAGGAAAAGGGTTTTGCACCATAAAAGTTACTAGCGGTTGGGTTCACAGAACCTCGCATGGCAATTATGACAAACGCAAAACCTTTTATCAGGTTTGCCGGCATTCCTGTAGCTTGCAAGGGCTGAACTAAAAGCTTAATTACGCACGTTATGCGTTAGTTTACAAACTTTTTAAATGCTAAATCCTGGTCCCATGAAGACAACCAGATGACATATCGCCGTCCTAGTTTTTGAGTAAAGTAATACTAATACAAAAGTTTAAAAATAACTTCTTTATTGGTCGTCATTCTAACAACCTGTGTTATAGTAGATATAGTTTCTACAACTTGAGCTAACAGAACTCAATTTAAATCTCAAAGTATTAAAAGATGCGCACTTGAAGATTTGTAAAAGAAAAATTATAAATAAATATTTAAACATAAATAAAACTGGCAAGGCAAAGGTGCGGCTACGTTTGACTCAGCGGATTACGGCTATCAAGCCTCAGAGTAAGTATTAGACAGTCAGCGGTACCTGCTAAAAGCTCTCTCTTACTTAAGAAATCTATACTTATACATTAACTAATTTGACAGAATTTGGAATTAGGCTGTTATTCTGGAATTCAGTTACCTCTGTAGGTCTTACCAGGAACCACGGAGAATGCATTTTTCGGGTATGGTAAAAATTGTTTTCTCCGAAATTGCATTCACCTGACTAAAACTGACTAAAACTAAAAATTCCAATTTTACAAATCCTTTTCTATTAATATCACTACATTTAGTGTGAACTGTAATTTTGTAAGAGGTTATCTAGATAGTTGAACAGTTTCAGTGATTTTGTACAGGAATTTGGAGAGTCCGGAATCTAAAGAAATTTAAATCCGATTTCTCCAGCGCCAATGCAGAAGATGAATTCTGAAGAATTCATATCTTAGGTGTAGGAGAATTAGGAATACAATCAAACCTAAATTTGAAACGAAAATAATCTTATATTTGCTTTTAGTGTTAGGATATAATAAGCAGGAACAGGAGGGAATGAAATGATCGGCCTTTAAAAATTACCATCCAACGATAGTAGGTTCTGAGTCTCTCGGAAGCTTGCAAATGATCTTTTTAATAGATTAGGCAGTGTGGGCGACTGTTACATCCAGTGTGTCCATGGTCAGAGCGTTGCCATCTCAAACAGGTTATTGACCCTTTGACAGGATGATATTTACGGATCTTGCATCACAGTGATAGCATTATAGATTTCTCTTGATAATTATTTTTGCTTTTATCAGTGCGTTTTGATTCCACGAAAAAAATCGGGAATCTAATAACACCAACTTTTTCACGAATTACTTTAACTTAACGACCGTGTAGCCTTTGTATGTTCCGCATGTTTTTCCAGGTCTTTATTTGTAGCCAATCTTTGGATGATAATTTTTAAAGGAGGCTAGTTGATGTTATTTTAGCCGAGAAGAGATCTTAGCTTTTTCCACATTTCTTCAGGTTATAGGTACACGATCGGTGGCAGGCATATTTCCTTTTCGATTGGGATTGAGGTAAGAGTTTCCGTCGCTACGTTATAAGGTGCTTGTAATTCTGCCAGGCAGTTGAAGGGATTTCCAGTCAGTATGCTTGATGAAATCCCATAAGCATTACCAAAAAAGAAAAAAAAGAGAGAGAGAACGAAAGAATAAGTGAGTTTGGGAAGAAAGATTCAGCACGGGTATCATGTCGTGGATGATGATATTATAAGTATGAAGTCCAATGGATTGCAGGTTCAGGAACAGGGAATCAACATGATTTTTGAGGTTATAGTAATGAGAATCAGAAATGCCAGGCTTCGTCTCTGCAAAATCAACTATAAGAAGAAATATCCATGTCAGACGGTATTCTTTAAGTATTTTCTGACAAGCGGAACATTGTTCCAGAAACAATGAGCTCTAAATGAAAGTGAAGTTTCATTTAGAGCTCATTATCCGGAAATGGGTGTGTAGAATCGTTTCAGTTCGTAATAATAAATAGCAAGAGCTTCTAAAAGTGCGTAGATCGCACAGTAATGTCAGTCCTCTGTCCATTAGGTCAAATGCCACTATGCTACTGACTCGATATATTATATATATATATATATATCATGGTAATGATGATCATCACTACACTGATATTCAGTATATATATGTAAGATAAAATTATATGAATCAGAATAACTAAAAACATTAATTCTTCCTCTTTATTCTAAAATCGTAATAACTTCTCTGCATTGCGTCATTTCTAGATCACTCTATGATCGGCGCAACTCTGATGACGTAATAATTAAGAACTGAAACTGACCTTGTAAACCAAAACTTTTCTCTTCGCATGCTTCCATCTTTCATAACTACGCACTTCAGCTTTGGCCCTCTACTCTGCTAGTATGTAATTTCGCTGGCTTGCTTGCTATCCCAACAATATCAAAAATGTAAATCTTCTTCGCATGCTTCCATCTTTCATAACTACGCACTTCAGCTTTAGCCCTCTACTCTGCTAAGATGTAATTTCGCTAGCTTGCTTTCTATCTCAACAATATCAAAAATGTAAATCTTCTGTGGAAAGGCACGACTAGAGTGCCAAGTGATTGTGGCCACAAATATCAATTGGAAATAAAAATGGAATTAAAACTGCCTCGACTGCCAAGTTCTTTAGATGTTACCAAGTTAGCATTACTAGCATACTACGCAATCAAAATTCTTCTTCAATATGGGTCTAATCACGCATCTACAGTGTTCCGTTTTTCCTTGTGTTTTTATTATGACATTATATATATATATATAGTGCGTCTGTAGTCATGCTGCACTTTTGATCGATCACAGGAAAGCAACAAAACAAGATAGAAATTGAAATCTTCACCAAACAAAAGAAAACCTTTTAAGGCCCGTTCCCACTGGGGTTTATCTGAGCTAACGAACACAACTAACGTAGTCGACCCATCCCCAAAACCAGTTTTCCCCCATAGAGCAGCAAGTTGAAAAATCTGAACTGCAGGCACAGTGGAGCTACTCGACATAGGGAACTGACTCCGTTAGCTCAGATAAACCCCAGTGGGAACGGCGCTTTAAAGTTCATACCTATTCAGTGTAGTTCGATGTAGGCTCCATCCATGCCGTCACGGTCTACTCCGCGAAGAAAAATGGTCTCATCACTTTATCATCCATCAGACCATACCACACGTTCACTTTAAGGCTGTTACGTTCGTACTCTACGTGGGCATGAGGATTTTCAGCAGCCCATATTCGGATGTTATGGCGATGAACATGTCCACTAACAGGGAATGTCGCCTCATCGCTAAACACAATCTTCTGCAGAAATTGGTTATCATTGTCGACCTCATGAAGCGTATCTGTAACAAATGCAGATCGTTTGGTTCTATCAGTCGGTTTCATAGCGTGCAACAGCTGCTATTTGCTTCTTCTTAGGTAACTCATAGAGCCTCTACAGACTCGTCTCTGACCGATGGCCTGCCAAAACGGGGTTTGTCCAACAAACTGCCGGTATCTTTCAACTGCTTATCCCATCGATTAATGTTATTTCTATGTGGTGGTGGTTTGTTGTATACGCGACAATATTCACGTTGCATTTTCTACAACTCGGTTGGCGTGGGCATGGATGGGCTAAGCTGCTCCTTCGCAGTTCGCGGTTCTGCGTCATCACCTGTGTGCACACATAATTGCACATAAAACTGCGGAAACTTTGAGTTTTCCTTTTGTTTGGTAATATAAGTAATAATTTATGTAATATTGGTAATATGTAATACAGTCAAAAGTCGTTGATCTGGACTCGTGTCAGGAATTCGGCGATTCCGGATTATAGATCATCAGTTTAAATCTGATAAGATGGCAGGCAGAAATTATAAAATTAAAAATATGAAACCGTAATTTATGAAATAAAGAATAATTATGATCTAAAGGGTATCAAAAATTTACAAAAAAAAAAAAAAAAAAAAAAAAACTTAATATTTATTTGTTTACTTTATTAAACATTTCTTTCAATGTAAGTTGTTTAAGTTGCTTCGTTTTTTATGTGATAATACATGCTCTTTAATTCTATAAACAGACATAATTTCTTGCTCAGTTACAAAGTTCCGCTGTTCAAGTCCTATAATTGCTGTGTCGAGAATACCGACTAATTTGTCAATCGAAATTTTTTCGTTTTCAATAACCTCTGTTACTTTCTTCGCTATCGGAAGCGAATTATAATGACGAGGAATTTGATTTAAATCATATCAAAGACGGCGTACATCGAGATGAAATACTACATTTAGTAAGGAATTATAAGCCAAATAAAATAAAAACATCTGCTCTGAAGATAAGGATAGTGCTGACAGATCAAATTCCAATTCGTTGCGCGGTGGCGTTAAAGATAAACAAAGTTTAGATAAACAAACGTTAAAGTTTAGATAAACAAAAGATATACCTTTATCCATTTTTTGCAGCAATTCCACTGTTTGTTTAATGGACTTCGAAACATATTTTCGCTTTGTAGATCCTTTACATATTAGTAAATATATATCAGAAATTCTATTTGACATAATCAAAAGTTCAAGCTTACTTTTATAAAATTGCTCTAACAGTCTGCAAAAAAATAATAAGCCGAATCCAATTCGAAGATTAAGGAACAATGCAATCTGCAACATTAAAAAGTCTTACGCGCATTAAATTAAAGGTCTTACGCGCATACATCAAAGCGACGCATGTGCAGAAAGTTTGTAGCTTTGAGGTCCGGATTATGGGTGTCCGAATTAACAACTTTTGACTGTATTTATACAATTTTTGTTTCAACTTTTGACATTTTCAGGAAATCAACTTTTGACATTTGCAGACAATCTTACGATATGTGTTTACCAGCTATATTCTTGATTTTCTGTGTAATTTTTCCAAAAATAAAAGAAGTTATTTCGCAATCCCCTTTAAAATTTGTGCTCATTGTATTATGAAAGTTCACAATTTCAAGATTAAAATTTTTAAATATTTTAAAATCGATAAAGGCTGAAAAATAACCTATATCATGCTACAAGCATACTGTGTGTACAAAAGCTTTACTAGATATAAAAATGTACTTTCTCATTAGTTTATTTTATTAAAATCACAAAAGATGTTCCAAACTGAAAACAATAAATACAACAGTATATACAAATTTCTTATGGGAGTATTTTGACAAATGTGTACTGCCTATAATCTTAATTATGGAATGATAAATTGTTTCTCAACTAACAAGTTTCAGAAAGATAGCTTTTTTGAAAATGTTTTGCTATTTAAAAGTATGTAATTCCTGAGTCTGAGTTCACAGTAATTTTATAATATTCATAATGTCTTGAATGTTTGCAATTTAGAAGTCCACAGAAATAAATACACGTAGTGGTACAAATAGAATGAAACAAAAATAGTTCTTGTCTAGACCATACACATGTGATGCTATTCTCCGAAAAAGAGAGAGGTAGTTTGCTTCTTCAACAGAACGGAAAGACACAGTTGTGTTTGCTTCTTTTGTAGCACCCATTGCTAGCAGTACTAGGGATTACTAAGGAAAGAAAATACGCTTTGCAATGAAAACTAGTGGTATTTACTTCTTGCACTCAGACTAATCATACATTAAGCATTTGAGGGCATCATGTATATTCAGGCATAGCACTGTGTGATGATTTTCTCATCTTGAAGTAACTTGGATAAAACAGGGAAGAGAGGGAAGCTATTCAGCCACATATTAACACTAATAATTAAGCAGAAAGCAACAGCCAGAAAGTCCATTTTCTGCACTGTAGTCTAATATATATTAGAAACAACGAGTTATGATTACACCAACTTTTTACTTTTAGTTTAAAATAGCTAAATACCCTTAATTTCATCTTAAACTGTTTGTTAAAATAAATTATATCCTCATATCAATGACTAGACTTTTATACAGTACAAAGTCTTTAATCCGGACTCGTCAGGACTTTGGCGATTCCGGATTAGGGGTTTTTCCGGATTACAGATCATCAACTTAAATCTGGCAAGATGGCATGCAGAAATTATAAAATTAAAAATATGAAACCCTAATTTATGAAATAAAGAGCAATTATGATCTAAAGGGTATCAAAATTTACCCCCCCAAAAAAAGCTTAATATTTATTTGTTTACTTTATTAAACATTTCTTTCAATGTAAGTTGTTTAAGTTGCTTCATTTTATGTGCTAATACTTTCTCTAATTCTATAAACAGACATAATTTCTTGTTCAGTTACAAAGCTCTGCTGTTAAAGTCCTGTAACTGCTGTGCCGAGAATACCGACTAACTTGTCAATCGAAATTTTTTCGTTTTCAGTAATCTCTTTGTCACTTTCTTCATGCCTTTATCCATTTTTTGCAGCAATTCCACTTTTTGTTTGATGGACATCGAAACATGCTTTCACTTTGTAGATCCTTTGGCAGCTCCAGAATCGGAAACTCTTTTGGACATAATAAAAAATTCAAGCTTACTTTTTACAAAATTGCTCTAACAGTCTGCAAAAAATAATAAGCCGGATCCAATTAGAAGATTAAGGAACAATGCAATCTGCAACGTTAACTGAAATAGATAATTAGATAATTTTAGCCTAGCCTATACCGTCCGTTATACATTAAACGTGCATGCGTAAATGTATTGTGCACATGCGTAAAAGTATTATGTGAATGCATAAATGCTACGCTGAAAGATTGTAGCTTTGAGGCCCGGATTAAAGACTTTCTACTGTATATATCCAATATGAATTATTCTTGCCACTTCAAAAATTCTGAATATAATATATACAGAAACATGTAACTACGCTAAAAATGTATAAGAAATTGTTGCCAAAGCAGGAAAAGACAATACGGTCATTCAGAAATATACAAATTTTATTCGCATAAACAATATTTACAAAATAGCTTATCATAGGAAAATTTATTTTAAAAAACAAATAATAACTGCTATTATTTGATATGATATTTTAAGATCTTCCTGAAAGTAATTTATATAGGCCTATAATTTCCTATGGGGCTAGCAAAAATGCCGCCACTAATGATTCTTCTGCGAATTTCCTTAAATAGAAGTTTCCGTTCTCTAGCAGATTTTTTCAGCAATCCATTATTTTCCTGTGCTCTGCGTGACAAATATGGAAGCACTTCATCAATTGGTCCATATGGCACATATTTGTAAACAGAATACCCAGACTGACCTAAAGTTGCAGAAATGGAATAAAAATTCATGTATTCATGCACAACTAATTAAAAATATATTTAAAATATTAGCAAATACATAAGTGTGCATGCAAAGTTTTAATACTAATTTTTTTAAATCAATTTTAGCCAGGGCCACAGCCAGAGCTTTTGCCACCCTTTTAGTGTACCTCAAAAGACTTATAAAATGTCAAAATAATATATAGAAATAAATAACAATTACCTGTTTATTTTTTTAATTAATATTTTTTACAATTACCATAATTGTCTGCATATAAGATGCACTTTTTTTCTTTGGAAATAGGTCTGAAAAAAGGGTGGTCTTATACGTCGATACTCAGTTTTTGATTACATTCATTTCAGTTTGTGAACAGGTCAAAGTTTCAAGGGATGCTGTGCAAACAGAGACAGTGGTTAAAGCATTTGAGAAATGAGGTATTAGTAATGCACTGGATGGTACAGAGAACAATTTGTTGTATGAGAACTCAGATGCTGATTTAGAAGAATTTTTAAGTGACTCTTCATTTAGCTCTGGAGATGAGTGTCTGGGTTTTGAAGAAGAAGCTCAAAAGGTGTTCTTTACCAGATAGATTGGGTATTTGCAGAAAGTATTACTTTGCATTTGCATTACTTTATATTTAAAATACTGTAAATTCATTATAATGATCAGTAATAAAGTTTTATCCTTCAAAAATATGTATGAAAAAGAAAGTGTGTCTTATACACTGGCAAATACAGTTATTATTTTTTTAATACAATTTTAATTCCAATACTTTAAACATTTCTTTTGGCTGTTTTAAAATGATACTTTGCTTGTTTTTATGTCAACAAAATCATTGATGACGTTTTAGAAGTTTATTTCACTATGCCTGCAGCTGTTCTAGAAATTATCTTACCTCAGTCCATATCTTTTTGGAACTGCTTCTGGGTTTAAACAGCATTTATTTTTAAATTTGCATAATTAATTATTTTAATCTCCGTTTTCATAAATTTACATTCATTAAGATAATATCTAGATCATTAAAGAAAATAAGAAAACAAAATAATTTAAATAATACGACATTCACATTACACATGGAGATTCACATTACACAATAACCAACTATGCAGCTTGCCATGAATTCTAACCCATGACAAATTAACAATATTCAGCAATCTTTAGCTATTTGGCTAGTTGAAAACACTTATACTATGGCATCTAAATTTGCTTCTTGTAAAATATCATTCGCTTATCAATAGAACTTTCTATGTGATTGAGTGTTTGCTTTGACTCAATGAACATTTGCTGTAATGGATTCAAAAGCTGAGCTAATAATAGCAATCAAGTTTTGCTGTAAAGAAGAAAAAGTAGTAACAGAGAGATATCTGAAACACTGTGTAAAGCATAAGGGGATCCAGCACTAATGCAACACAACACGTTTTGTCAATTTGGATAATTTCCTTGAAAAAGTTCAACAGATGTTGAAATATCACTTGTTTCTTTAAATGATAGCTGGTGAACTTAGTATCAGAAAAGATAAAACTGTACCGAAAGATTATGAAAAAAGTAAAAATTGTTCTTGTTTTGCCTTTCATGCATTGGCTGCAGAATGGCAAAGAAACTTCAGTTTCAGAAATCTTGAATATCGGTCATGCTGAACTTTCTTGATTGGAAAAGGATAATTCACAAGAAAATTTTTTTATAGGATAAAAACTGATTGGACAAAAATTTGAAGAAAATCCAATGTGTTCGGCTTGAAAAATTCAATCAAATTACTACTTTCTACCACATTGATCACACAACACCATTTTCGTTCAGCAGTTCCTAGTTGAGAAAAAAGCAACAGTAAACCTCAGTCATACATTGTTAAACATATTTGGCATCTTCAGAATATTTTCTCTTTCTCACGGAAGACTTCTGAGGAGAACCGAGTGTGTTTAGTGCTGAATAAAATCAATTGTATAACTTGCATATGCTGCATGACAATGTGCTGTCTTACAATTTTATTCTCATCAAACTGCTTCTAACACAGCAAAGTTTCACAAAATAGTAATATTCCGGATGTAATCAAAATTTACAATGGCAATCATGTCAATTCAAGAAGTTTTTTTGATGTGCTTTGGCAAAGAAACTCCTTAAGTCCTTTCCTACACCTCTGACTTATTAAATTTAACTTCTTATGGGGATATGTCAAAGAAAATATCTGTAGACAAGATTAAAAACTGTGATACTTCTTTCGCAATTTGAAGCAAACTCCATTGATGGAACACAGCAATAACTTTTATTTAACACTCAAGGAGACATACAAACAAGAAGAAAAACTAAAAATAAAATAAATACATTCTTCGTGCGAGAGCCACACGTGGCTATTGAGCCTGCGTTTCAAATATCGCCGTTAACATATACCTTAATGTTCCTCTATTTAAATTATTTATTTTAAATTTAAAGATTTTAATAACAATATTTAAAGCTGTTACAACGTCTCCAAAAAACGTTGTGCAAAGATCCTTTGCTATGAATGACCTTAAAATTATACGGTTGTCATGAGAGCTTCATCTTCCATATTTAATTCTGGTAATTTAACTAACTTCTTTTCAAAGACATCTCTAAATGCTTTATTTTCTTCCTTCATTGATTCCAAGATCTTCTCTTCAGCTATTTTTCTTTTCCTTTGAGCTCTAGCAGAGACAGCATTAACCTGGTGAGGATGACTATCAGGTTCCTTTCTTTGTTTATTCAACAGTGTAAAAGTTCGATTGCCTAATATATACCTTCCTTTGTCGAGTTCATTCCTAATAATGGCAGCCTTAGTTATTACTTGCCCAAGATCACAATTTAGTTCAATCTCAGCTAATGGTAAACAGGTTGGATTGAAATCTAATGGCTGTTGCACCCACACATTTTCACCTGTCAGCATTTCCGGCATGATGTATTGTGACAACTATATCAATACTAGCACCTGAATCCCTTAACATGGGAATTTTATGACCATTTACATAACCCAAACTAGTATACGGTAATAGAAATTTGTCCTCTGGTTTTGCACTAATTCTGTTGAGATTAGAAGGAGATTCAGTACTATTCTTAAGTTTTGGACATTGAGGTCTTAAGCGTTGATAGGATCCACACTGATAACATTGCGGCGTCTTTCGTTTTTCATATTATCATCTGGACGTGGACTTCTAGGTTTATGGAACCAGCTTTGCAAATTAAATCCTGATGACAATTCTTTTTTCAGTTTTATTTTTATTATCTTAACTCACTCTGAGTTAGTGCAAGTATCTTTCTTTCTGCCGATCCACTACAGACCTTTTTCGAAAGGTTCTACGAATGTTTTCATAGGCATCAAATTTTTTAGATGAAATCATCTCTACCCACTCATCAAGAAAATGATCTCGAATTTCAGGAGGAACTTGACGTTTAAGTTGATCAATCACCATCAAATCTAGCAACTGATCAAAAGTCTCAACTCCTAGACCAGTCACCCATTCTCTGCAATAATTTTCTATTTCATAGTTGAAATCCACCCATACGGATTTGGTACTCTTTTGATGTTTCATAAATTTTTTGCCTAAACTTTTCCGGGCTTAGTTTAAACCGTCTTAACAATAAATTCTTCACGTGTTCATAGTCTTTAGCTTTATCAGACGGTTCTCTAGCTATTAACTGTGTTACTTCGTAAGTAGTCCTAGTAAATGAGATACAAATTTTTCTTTATCAATTTGAGCCCATTCTGCCAGTCTTTCAAACAGTAGCAAATATAGACTGATATCTCCTTTCTTATCATCGAATTTCTGCATAAGGTGATGTGGCCAGACCTGTTTGGTAGTTTGAGACTTTGTCTCTGCTTCAAGTCTTAATCTCTAATTCATACTGTTTTTTTCTTCTCCACTCTTTTGCATTTTCCTGCCTCCTACATTCTTCTCTTTCCTTCCTCTCTTTTCATTATTGTGTTCTCTTTTCATTCTTGTGTCTAAGACTCCTTTGATGAATACTTTATCATAATATCTGCTTTCAAAAATTTTCTGTTTTAAATCGACTGTTTTCAAATCTGCAGTCACACGAACTCTCAGTTCAGCCACGAGATTTTGCAAATCTTCCTTACGAGCTCTTCGTAAGTAAGACATTGTTTCTATGTTTAAAATTAGTGAACACTGTGTTCTTTATATAAAATAGCTCAAATTATTGACTTTAATTAATTAATGCAGTCAGGAATCATGGTATTAAATGCTCTCTGTTAAATACATAAACTTCAAAAATGAAATATTTAAATTATATGAAGTTCATACTCTCTACCACATCAATTGTGACTGATTAAAAATAACAACATAGGGCAATATGTATGTCTACTTTTGGACAATTAAAATTAATATTAAAAATAATATCCAACACAGTAATAAAATAAGACAATTCAATATTAACAGGAAGTAATAATCTGGTCTCACTAATATTACATTCAGTGATGAACTAATAACATAAGGCAATTCAATATTAATAGGAAGTAATAATCTGGTATCACTAATATTACGTTCAGTGATGAACTAACAAAATAAAAATATGCACGATTATTCGCTCTCGGCTGGTGCCTCCAAAATAATTAAGACTGTGATACTTTTTTCGCAATTTGAAGCAAACTCCATTGATGGAACACAGCAATAACTTTTATTTAACACTCAAAAAGGTGACATACAAACAATAAGAGAAAACGTATTCTAACATTTAAAATAAAATAAATACTTTTTTCGTGCGAGAGCCACGAGCCTGCTCTTCAAATATTGCCATTAATGTATACCATAATGTTAATCTATTTAAATTATTTATTTTAAATTACAAGATTTTAATAACAATATTTAAAGCTGTTACACCACAGAAGAGCTGGAAATAATGATGACAAGTGCTATAGGATTTGTTTCAATGGTCCAAATCAAGCAAGTTATCCACAATTTCAAGCTAAGACTTTGTTCCACAGTTTCCTCATATAGTAAACATTTTGTGAAACTTATCTTTCAATTCCGTTCATTCTCAAATGTAAAGCATGAAAATCTGAAATAAAAATCTTTTTCCACTCAAAATGTATTCAATTTTTTCATAATCTACATCCTGTGTTTAACTGTAAATGACAGAATATAGTACATTATTCTAAGAATTATTCTTGCAACACTTCATGTTTTATAACATTAAAAATAACATTCTTTTACTTATATATTTCTGAAGCATGACTGTAATTCAGCAAATGTGTAGCCACAAATAAGATATCTAACTCACAAATAACCACAAACTGGAAACTTCAAAATGCTAATAGAATATAACATGAAAACTCTATTGCATAATAGCAACAGATTTCCAGCACAATGCACGACATGTTCATCAAGAACTCCTGAGCTTTTACCTTTCAAAAACAGCCTTTGATATTCAGAGTATTCACATAATCCACTAACTGGAAGATTCGCAATCAGGTTCTTAATTAGTTTCAGCAGTGGAGCCTCAGTGATATTGCTACGAAATGTACAGGTTAGAGGTAAGGTAGCTTCCCCGCAAAGCAGGTTAGGGTTGCCAAAAAATGGCAAATGAAGGCAGGATTGCCCCATTTAGTGAGAAATCGCCCATTTGGCGACATGGCCTTGGACGGATGGAGAACCTTCTGGAACGAATTCTTACCGGTTTAGCCCAGAATGTTCTCGAACACAAGCCGAAAGCTATATAATCCCTGCGGGCCCACAGTCAGTTAGTGCCTCGTCAAGCACATCGAGAGAGTCATTAGTGTGTCACAAATTAGTGCATCGTCGAGTTTTGTCTTAGAGTGTGCTGAACTCCGATAACGACTGAACCGAGTCGACAGCTGTACTCTTGTGTATCGTCGAGTGCACTGCGAGTTGTAGTGTGGAGAGTCTCAAGAGTACGTACAGTTGCAAGAACAACCAAGGAAAGTCGGGAGCTGTACTCTAGTGCTTTGCTGTGTAGCTGTCTTCACTGTGATAGCCTGAAGGCTGTGTCGCTGATTGTTCCAGCGTGTTTATAGTAGATCTTGAATGACTGTAAAAAGTGACTTTGGATCTGTCCTGATTAATATTGGCTAAATAAAGTGTGTCTCAATACTTCATGAAGTGGCGTCGTTATTCACTCCAAATCTACGAACGTGAAGGAAGAAAATAACGCAACAATTGGTGTCAAGAGTGGGGTTTGCGAGTGAATGCCAGTGACCCGCCTGCAGAGGAAACGACGACTTTGATGACTTCTTAGCCGAGATCAGAGCCAGGTGAGAAGATATAAAAGGTGAGATGAAAGCTGAAATGAAAGAGTTAAAAGCTGGATGAGCCGAATATGACGAGATAAAAGCTGGCTATGAAGAGATGACAGCTGATATGAAAGCTGGACGAGAAGAGATGAAAGCCAGCAGAGAAAAGATGTGAGAGCAACTCCAGAAGCTGAAAGTGGAGCTTGCAGAGGAAACTGGAGCCATAAAAGAAGATGTGGAAATGACAGATGTGGCACCTGAAGAATGAGAGGATGAAGAAATGAAGGAAGTAGCTGTTGAAGTATCCGAGAAAGCTAATGATATAAAGGATGAAACATCTTACGGAATTAAAGAAAGAGAACAAAAAGATGAAGAAAAAGACAAGATGCTTCTCATCCTCAAATGTCCGAAGTTGAACTGGAAGACAATGATAATACTGTTTGTAAAGATGAAGAAATAAACAAAGTGGCTTGTAAAGCTTCAGAAAGAGGTGAAGAAATAATTCATGTAAATAAAGTTCCTGATTCTCAAATGCCTGAAGGAAAGATGGAAGAATGCGAAAATGTGACAGTAAAGTTTGTAGAAACTGATAGTGAAGTTATGAAGTCGCAGTTAGTGAGGATTCAACCATTTGAAAATCCATGTGATGCAGAGATGAGAAAAGATGATGTGCACGTTAAGCAGTGTGCTCCAGTATTGCAAGAAAACTCACCCACTCCACAAACTGAGTGCATGTCTCCTAATACAGATTATGCAGACACGGACTTGATTCTAAACCGGGATACTTGCGTTTGTAAAGTATCAGGCTCCATTCATGATTATGATGCAGAATTTGGAGCTGGTTCCAAGGAAACAGAGGAAAATGAACATGCACCAGCTGCTGAAAATACCAAGGAGAACTGTACACATGATGTGAACAAACTACAGAGTGGTGAGCAAAATGTTTTGGATCTTCCTGTAGATTAAAAGACTGAAAGTTTTAAATCTTCAGACTTTGATACACATATTAGAAATACATCTGAGAACTGGAGTGGAAAAGTATTTGACCCAGGTATATCTTAATGAAAAGACTGAGACTGAAATTTATTCTGAACCTTTAATTTGCATAATTTAAAATTGTGATGTGTTTAATTTATGTACATAACTTGTACATAGTGTAAATATTTGTTTCTTTTACTTGTTTGTATCAAATTGGCTTCTGACCAAAGGTTGTATTGTCTGGACATGCAGTTCTTGGGAGTAGGCAGTGTTACGAAATGTACAGGTGCGGTAAGATAGCTTCCCCGCAAAGCAGGTTTGAGGGTTGCCAGAAAATAGCAAAGGAAGGCAGGGTTGCCACATTTGGCGACATGCCTTGGACGGATGGAGAACCTTCTGGAACAAATTCTTACTGGTTTAACCCAGAATGTTCTCGAACACAAGTCGAAAGCTATATAAACCCTGCTGGCCTGCAGTCAGTCATTGAGCGAGTGTCTCTAAGTCTATCGAAGTCTAGTGCCGAGTTGGTCATCGAGTGCATTGAGCGAGTCTTTAGTGTATCACGAGTTAGTGAATCATCGAGCTTTGCCTTAGAGTGTGCTGAGCTCCGAGAATGACTGAACTGAGTTGACAGCTGTACTGTATCATCGAGTGCACCATGAGTTGCAGCGTGGAGAGTCTCAAGAGTATGTAGAGTTCCGAGAACGACTGAGGAGAGTCAGGAGCTGTACTCTAGTGCTTTGCAATGAAGCTGTCTTCACTATTATAGCCTGAAGGCTGTGTCGCTGATTGTTCTAATGTGTTTATAGTAGATTTTCAACTACTGTAAAAAGTGACTTTGGAGCTGTCCTGATTATTATTGGCTAAATAAAGTGTGTCTCAATACTTCATCAAGTGTCGTCGTTATTCACTCCAAATCTACGAACCCCGTACGAACGTGAAGGAAGAAAATAACTTAACAATATGTTAATGACCTATGTTGCTTCACTGAGGATGGAATCATATGTATATTTCAACAATTACTTATGCATAACTAATTCAAAGTGAAATTCAGAATAGCAGAAATATTAACAATAATCAGAAAGATGTAACTTATAATCTGGAAAATTCTCTAATTCACACAACCCTCAACCATCAGATTTCTACTGTATAATGAGTTTTAAGACATTATACAATAAAATTCCCCTATATAATAAGCACTTTTTATATAGCCAAAATGTGTTTTTCAATTTCCTCGGCTCTAAGGTACATTGCGGGAAAAAAAAAAAGGGGGGGGGAGGGAGTGGCAATTCTATATTTCCCATTCCTACTGGGCCGATTGACAAAATTCAAATTGCCTTTTTCATGTCTTGAAAGTACGACTTAGGATATATATTAATTATATAGAGCATTGTTCTAATATAGGTATTTTGACACATAATCAGACTTTTCTGAAATGACATGCCAATTTTTTTCATTATTTTGATTCTACGACTAAAATTATGCCAATATATTAAATTCTGTAAAATTTGGTGCAAAATTTATGGAGAAACTCAAAAATTTATCTTAATGCATTTTTTTCCAGTTTATTATAGCAACCTACATTCCTTTCCTTTTTTACATTGTAAACGAGCGGAAAAGAAGTCATCATTAATTATTTCAAATAATTTTAACAAAGTTTGTACACCACATTTGGGGTTATAATCAAATGCCAAATTTCAAAATGCACCAACATGTAAATTCACATACATCTTAAGAAATTTTGAATAAAAAACTATAACTGTTTGCAGGTATGCTTAGAAATATATCTACTTTAAGATGATGGTAAAAATTTTATAGGTTATAATTCAAAATGTTTTCAAAACTTTTTTTTTTTCACGCATTGTACCTTTTTTTTCCCCATACAAACATTGCTAAAAACGGGATACACCTCAAAACCAGTCACATCTTATACTCCCAGACTTTTCAAAATTACTAATTCTAAAGAGATATATATCATTGTTCTTAATAAGTTGAAACTGATTATTAAAATATTTATTACAGTACTTCTTTGTTTCACTTTGTTTTATACAAGGAGAAGAAAAACATTATGAGGACTTCCTAAAAATTATAATTAATTATCATAATAGTTAATAAATACTTCACTTAGGATGTCAATTTGCTTTCTGTTATTTAAATATTAACATGAAAAAGAAAATTAATTTTCAGTTAAAATTTAAAATGAGTTTCTTAAATACTTGAAAAAAATTCTTATATATATTGCTTGTTTTACAATACAGAAGTGGAAATTACTTACCTAAAGGAAAACTAATTTGATCACACATTCCATATAACTGTCCAAAGCAAATTACTTTATGCTCAGGTTTTATGCCTAATTCTTCCATTCTAGAAGGGAAAAAAAATTAGCCAAACAAAAGTGTTCACAAAACATTGCCAATTACATTACAATTGATTGTGCAGTATGATGATATTAATTTGTTCAGGCACAGAATTCTGCAAGTTAAATAACAAAAATATAAATTCTTATTATAACATTCATAATTTCATTTTCTGAAGGATAAAAAATTTATAAAAAGAAAATAAAACTATGATTTATTCTTTCAAGACTTGATTATAACATATTAATGATCTCATTTTCTGAACGTACAGTAGCCTTGCTCAATGTGATCATGTCTATTCATGGCTATTTTGATAACACTACCTAATGATAACATTAAACAATGAGAAAAAATATCCTACAAAATAGCAATGGAATTTAATAATTTAATATAAATATAACTAGAAACATATAAATATATATTTTTACAACATTTTACTTAGGAAAAAGTCAGTTTATTGTCTGAAAGTGTTACACAAAAGTTTTCCTTTGAACTGCTTATAATGTTTCTAGATATTATTTGACTGATGTTGTACTCCTAATCTCAATACTTGTAGAGCATGCCTTATCTTAGTACATGTAGGAAATTCACTGATTTCATCATGATCGTCTTCAGAAAATATATGATTTGTTTAGATTTGTTTCAGAAAACTACAGTCAGATATCTTCTTCTACCATCAGTATTACAACTTGAATTTTTTCGGAAATATCTATTCACATGTTACATTTCTCAAAAATTCATGTTAGTTAGAGATGATACTTTCACTTCATTTTATATCCACATCATCAATGTTATAAAGGTACTCTGATATTCATCTCACAGCAATCTTATTGTTTCATCATTATAATAATCCATTAATCACATGGTTAAATTAAGACTGTGGTATTTTTCAGTAAATATACAAAAGAGTAATTTATGTTATGCACAGTGCAATTATCAATGAAAGAGATATCATTGTTCAGTTCATTAATCCCATTTTAGAAGACATTCAGTAAAATTTACTGGTGTCTTCCATATCTTGAATTTGTATATCTTGTATATATTTGTATAAAAGTCCATTGGTAAACTCTTTACACTTTTTAATGCATCATGGATTATTTCTTTTTCAAATTACTAACAGTTTTTTTAATCACATCTACTGGATGCATTAGCTTCCAGTATTTTACAACTTCTTGAACTTTCAGCTTTAAATAAGTCCAAAATACACATAACTATGTATTTTGGAGCAATGCACAATACTGTAGACCTGTTTTATCTACATTACAAATGTTATTAGGTCAGTACTTTGTAGATAATTTAGGTCCCTCATTTAACAACCATGTTCCCACAGCAGGTAAATCAGCTTCTTTTTCATTACTTTTAATACATTTGCAAAAACTATTTTTTAATTGGCTAAACCAACCATATATTGCAATAAAATCACCTTCCTCTATTTTCATGGTTAATCCTTCAACTTTCTGCCACATCAGTGGGCCACCCACAAACTTTTGTAAATCAAACCTGCAGTGCTTTCTCAAAACTGTGACCTTTTTCCATGACACATCCATTTCATATTTTCATTTTGATTTTGCTTCATTTTTTGATTTCCAAACAACATCTCAATGATTTTTTAAAATCCTGCATTTGAAAGGTTAAGAAAATTTAGTTTATACTGATTGTTTTTTTGGGAGCAAGTCACAGAAGTCCAATAAATTAATTTTATCCCTTAAATTTAGATAATCATACCTTTTACTAGTCTCTATAATTTCAAAATGATCAAAAGAGAATAAAATTATGTACAATAAAAATAACAGTACTCTTCTGTTATCAGGACCAAATTCAGAAATGTATGTATATGTGCATGTGTGTATAGATGTATGTGCTCATGCGATGTATATGTGTGTACATATGCATGAGTGTGTGTACAAACACACATATATGACCATACATACATATACTCATGCATACATTACTGAATCCAGTCTTGATAACAGAAGAATATAAAAATAACTAAATGTGACTAAATAAAATTTAAAAAAAAACCCTTCCTAGAACATAACATTCATCAAAATGTAATACTCAAAACACAGCACAGATTTTCTACATCTAGAATTCCATCTTAATTTAAACTGATTAGTCTAGATTATCTTTGTAAAATTTAGAAAACAGGCTCCTTGATCTTGGACTACTTAGTCCATGATTGATTTGATCAAATTGGAAGACAACATGCCAATGTAAAATTTAAAACTAGGCAAAAGACCCAGCTTAATTTGGAGCAGAAATAATATATATATATATATAGGAGGGCAGAGAGAACCTGCAGAATTTATTTATTTATTTTTTCTCTCCTGAAGAACCTACCCTTGAAATTAACCAAATTATTTAAAATTTATGCTAAACTGATGCTGATTTTTCGCCCAATGTTTAATGGTTTGCTAAACTCAAAAACAAGTTGTTTGGTGATTTAATTTCCTAATTGGCAATATTTGGCAAATTTTAACTTAATTTAAATTTATTTGGTGACTTTAGTTCCATTGTAAAAAACAACCATTCTTCAATATTTTGATCATATTAACCCAATTGTTGATCACAATAATTATTGTATTTACCATATTTTCATATAAAAATGGGAGGCAGGTTCAACAATTTGATAACAGTATTAGAATGATAAAGTTAACCTTGATCACAAATCATAGCATTAAAGATTAAAATAAATAATAAATAAAATTCAAATAATAATAATAATAAACACCATGTGATAAATTAGCTTAACCCTTTGACGGGCGGTAGGACGCCCCTTTTTTATACTTCATAACATTACACAGCTTTTATCTTCCAGATGAAAGCTGCAAAATTCCATTTAAAATACATACAATTATGCCTTTTACTTCTCTAAATGTACAACAGATGGCAGCACTAGTATTAATTCATGGAAATAATGTAAAATAAAAATTCTTTGCAGGTCTAATTTTGAAGCAGTTTTTTTATTTCTTTCTAATGCAATTTAAATCGTCTGAACAACAAATTTTGGTGTCAGAATGAATATTTTTATGTTAAAGTTTCATTTTGTAAAAAAATTATTATTTGAATTCATATATATTAATTAACAATGGTTGAAAGGTTAGACCAAATACATCCCACCACGCATGTAGGAATTGCTCCTACTAGATGGAAGCACCATTCAAATACTTTAAAATTCAAGTATCATGTTCGTTTTATATGTTGATAATGCAAATATATATTTTTAAATAACTTTCAATAATGTTAAAACTTGAAAAATATTCAGTATTTTTTCCGAAAGAAATGAAAATATAATTTTGTAACATGAATGAATGGATATGTGAGTGTGATTCACCATAGAAAAATATCCTAAGCAGAGGGAAGAGAGGGGAAATATAAATAAACAAGACAGCCTTCTAAATATCTTCCTTTTGAAACCTGTTGCAAATAAAGTACTGGAGCGAAAATCCTCTCTGTTGTAAATCTATTATGAAATCATTAAAAAATATCTAAAAAGTCGTACAGAGAGTGATTTTTTTAAAATTATGTAATTTTCTTTTTGCGAATATGAGCATTATTTTCTAAATAATTATTCAAAAACGTTTTTTATATCTTGCATTTTCATTTGGTTGCTAAAACTATCACCTTAGATAAGTATGTTAGGAGAATTTACACTGATGTAAAGATGCCATTTTACTGCTCAGTGGTGCACGGTGGTACAAGCGGTATCCCACCATGTCTTGAATTACCTTAAAGGTTTACCTGTTTTTTATTGCATGAAATAACATTTTATTAGGGGCTAGTTATCGGTGTAAAGTTATTTTTTTCAAAAAAAAAATTTTTTATGCACCAAACCTCAAAGGGTTAAGAGTGATTTTAAATTTAAAAGATTTTCTCTTTATGAATATATTCAACATATGTGCTGATTTTTATGAATTTTTCATAACTTTTTAATCTGTCTTAAGTTTTATGATATTACATGAATTCATTTTTTTAGATCCTCCCCCCCCTCCTACAATGGCAGGCTCTAGCCATTTATAGGCATTGGCCACTATTAGACCAAAAGCAGTGGTCAGTTTATTATAAAGTCACCTAATAGGTGGGCCACTATTGTGTCCTGTGAGGGGATGGACAAATGACATTCATGCCTTCTGTGGGATTCAAACCTGGGCCCTTTGTTATGGTAGTCAGATGCCATTTTACTGCTCAGTGGGACTACTAACCACTTGCTACATCTGGGAAGCACTTTTTTTTTAAACCTGAAATTAGTTTTTATAAACTTTGCAACTGTTTTGAAAGACACTGAAAATAAGTCAGTTTGGTACTTGTCACCACATCTGTATTTTATGTGCAAACTTTTGGGGAACATTGAGGTTACCATTTCAAACTGCTCTTTTATCACATAAAAAACAAGTTTTTTTTCTTTTTTACAATATGAATTCTTCACCTCTGCATTAAGAATTCTGGTGACTTGTGATATTACAGCAATTTTAATGTTTATTACTCTTCAAAAATTCTGATCTGCGATTTGAGAATTTTATGATTTTTTATAATAGATATAATATTATTATTTATATTAAACAATAACATATAACAATTAAAACATAATTAAAACAATGACATATATTAAAATTATATTTCTTAGAAAAATAGTATTAAAGTAAAGAATTTCCATTTCTATCATTTGTGTTTTAAAATAACTTTATTTTTCCTTTCGGTTTTTATTTTGGTAATTTTTGAATATCTTGATTAAATTTAAATGGGAGTAAATGTTATTAAGTATTCTGAATTAATTTTTAGCAAAGGCAGAAGAGAGCTATTATAAGTATGTTAAAATTAATTTCATTTATCCAGTTTTCCATTTTCTAAATAACTGCTTCAAAATATTTATAGATATATGTATGTGTCAATTTAATCTGAAAAAATCCACTTCATGCTTTTTTTTTTTTCTGTTGCGCCCCCCCAAAAGAACTATTCTGATTCTTACCATCATGAAATTAGTAGATATGCATTCAACTATGTAAAGATACTTATATTATTAAATATTAATATTTAATATTATAGAATCTAACTCAGTACTTTGAAAGGTCAGGGAACTTTACTTTTTAACGGTGAAGCGCACAGTATCCTCATTATGTGATGCCACCATAACAGCTATTTTTCGGTCCTGTCTGGCAACTATCTGTCGTAAAACTTCACAAAGAGATTTGTGGTACATTTCCGTTGTTGCTTCATAAGTAGGATTGATAGGATCTTCATATCCAATTTCCTTTGCTCGCAATCTTTCCTATTATTAAAAAGATTAATTGGCAAAAGAATAATTTGCAGCTTCATTTGAAATTTGAGAATAACGTAAAAGCATTATACAATATAATTATAGCGAAAATTTTGTATTCTCGTGTTGTTTGCCCAGTTCTCTCTCAAAGTTGCCAATTGTTGGAGACTAATTTTTCGGCTACCTAACACATGAATAGGAGCCATTAAAAAAAAAAAAAAAAAAAAAAAAAAAAAAAAAAAAAAGGCAGCACGCTGAAAATTACATAAGACAACAAGGAACTGACAAAATTAAAATGTGAGAAACATCGTAATGAAACAGTAAAAATTATGTAAAACAAATATCCATAACAAAACACTCAAAATTTCATAAAACAATAATAAATTAACTAAATTAAAAGCACAACAAATATCCTTAATAAAACATTTAAGTTTGAATTTTCTTGGTTTTCTGTCTGCATGCACAGTGATCTGTTTTAACTTTAAAAAAAAAAGAGAGAGATAGATGCAGAATTCTCAGCAAATTGGCACTGCTCTCCTTGTACACATTAATCTGTTTTTAACTTGAAAATTTAGAGGATTGCACAAATTAACTTCATGGAATGAGGATTCTTGCTCTCTCTACTAGTAGACAAAATGCATATCTCAGAAAAAATGCAATACTTTCTTTTTCATCAGCAGAAACACAGTGGCATTATCATTCACTACAAGAAAAAATAAAAAACTCCACACACTAACCACAAACATGGTCACCAGAATTTCAGAATCACAAGAACTGCTACTACCACTACCGAGACAGACAGTGGCATAATGCATGCACAACCATTAGTGAATTGCCAACTTTGTTGACATTACACATTGCCTGCTGATTCTTTCCAAGGATGCAGATAATTCAAAGGTACCCACAAAATCAAATAAATACTCAATATTGGCACAAAAAATAATTGCAAAAAATATTAATAATCAATTTCCTTAAATTTATCAAACTATATCTAAATAATATAAAAAGAAGTATCACAGAAATTTGAACTATACCACACATAAAACTAGAATACATAGAGAATGAAATTTGAAAACATACAACGCATAAAATTACAATATAGAAGATGCAGTCAATTGAAAAAGATGAAAGAATTACTATAAAGATAAGATAAACAAGCTGCAAAAGGAGAGAATATCTTGCTTTGGGAAACAGTAAGAAGTAGCAATAAATATAACATAAGTAGCAATATATTATTAAGTAAATTTTGCAACTTTTAGCTTCTAACTACTAAGAAAATAACTTACAGCACATTTCTCATGATAATAACAACAATTAAAAAAACTAGAAAATTTTATTTAATAGAAAGATAGTTAGATAAACAAAACAAAAGCAAACTACAATATGGTAACATAATAAATAGCATTTATTTAAAAATTAGTAGCATTTATTTATAATTAACATGAAATAATATTTATTTATATTTATGGAGGTCATGATTTCGTAATTGCTATCATAATAGAGTCAAATATTTTGTCTCATCGTATATATTGAGAAACGTAAATACTTATAAATTTGTATTTTGTTTCTCCATCTGTCCATACCCCAGAGTAGTATGATTTTCTGGATATTTGCATCAGGTGTCAGATCTACAAAGATGTATTTGTGATTTACTATAAAATATTCAAAACCAGCCTTTTCAAATTCTTTGCTCTGATAAGCATGTGAGTACTCTGAATATATAGTAATTCCCTCATTTACATGTTCTTCTATCACCTTCATTAGAGTTCTTCATTCCCAGAATTTGCCAATGTAAACATTTCATTTCATGCAGTTTCTTTCCCAAACTCATTGCTTTAGTAAAATTCTGTTTATGTTGTTCTTTGGCTTGGCTTTAATCAAACTTGACAATCTTTCCACCAGTTTCACCTTTTGAGTGTTTCACTAAAAGCAAACTATAGATTTCTTTTATACAGTTGTTCCAATCAATGACTGTTTTTTTCACTCTTATTTAGCTCTATTGCACCATCTTTGGGAATTTAATTCTGCAGCCTAACACCATGTGATGTGCAAAGAGCAAGAAAAGGAATTCTGGAACCATAAAACCAATTATTAGCACAAAGAACATTCCCCCCTTGCAGTTTTTTACATCTCAAAATATTTAATTTCCTTATAAATAATTCTTCTTTTGGTGCCCATATATTTATTCTATTTTTAGTACGCAAAATTATGTGCTTTTGAAAGAAAACTACTGCATCATTTTTAGCTGATGGTAAGTTAAATAATGGTTAATATTTTAGAGGAAAAATTAATAATAAAAAATATGAAAGCATGAATGATATCACAAATAACCTAATGCTTATTTTCAAATTGATGAAAAGTTAATTGTTGCCAACATTTTACAGAGAAAATAACTAATGAAAGAATGAATGGTCAAAATCAAGCAGGAAGAGAAAAAAAAAATTATGCTTCTTAATATATACACCACAATAAAACTGGCTTCTTTTTCTAATAAGTTTAAATGCTAAATGCTTTAAATAAAAAAATAAACACTTACTCAATGATATCAAGCAGACAACACTGCAATCAAAACAGTATGAAAATCAAACCCTAGCAGGCTAAAAATATGAAGATTATATTTACCAAATTTTGTCACTAATTTCCCAATATGGGAAAATAACTGAAGTGGATATTTTAACTCTCAACTAGTGCTTTATTTGCAAATACATTTTGCATAAAACAAACTTCAGAATTATCCATTTAAACTTTTTTAATTTCCTGTGCATCATATAAAAGAAATAATACTGTTAAAGAGTACTGGTTCATTGAATCTTTTTAACCAATGATTCCAGATAAACAGGCAGGAGTTAATAATTTATTATGAAAACAAACTCTACATAGCACGATAAGTAAGAGCATACAATGGATATCAACAATTCCTCCTACATGCATGAAAAATGTAGTCAGTTATCAACAGTAGTCGTTTACAAAGTAAATTCTATATCACAATTCAAGTAATGATAAATCTCACAGTTGAATAACAGCTAACAACAACAACTTGTCCAAGCTCTCTATACTATATTTATAGTGGAATACATACACATAGCTGGTGTAGCGTAGGCTTTGGGAAAAATCAGTCATCAAGACTCACAAGAAGCACACTTGCTCATATCTCACATTTCATTTAAATTATTTCTATAATTTAAACATTGCCACACGCAGAACCAAAAGATTAATAATTACATAAACAAATATAAAAAAATGTCACCAAAAATCAAAGCAAATCATTAAATAGATTAATGAACACTATTACAGGAACACACAGAAAAAAAGATTTAAATATTTACAGACATACAACTCCATGCATCTACAATTACAAAAAAGACACAAAACCATAAAAATTTAAATCCATTTTTTTAACCTTATGTTTCCAATTTCAGAAATGTTCTTTAGCAATGGTAATAGTGTTTAAGACAAGCAGCAGAATAAAGAATATCATCACAAGATCATAAGATGTAAAAATTCACTCAGGATGTTAAAAAATAAATAAATAAATAAATAAAACTACACTCTACTGAAATCTTCAATAGATTTATTTTTGGTAGTCTAATATATTTTTGGTATTTTTATATTAATTTTATATTTAATATTTTTTGGTAGTCTAGCTTTTTAAGTTAATCTTTTAGTACAGTTTAAATTAAAAAATTTACAAATCAATTTATTAACTTAATAATTGACATAAGCATTTGAATGTCAATTCCTGGACAGATATACTCAGTTTATTGTTTTAAAGTAAAATATGCATTTATTATTAAGTTAATGAAAAAAATTTGATTAAAAATGGGAAATGACCAGTTTTTCGGAATTATTGATTCAGTGTTATTTTTCTACATCAGTTTAGTTAAGCGAAGTCATATTGTACCTTTCCTATATTAAAAATTCAGGTACAAGATAAAATGATAGAATGGATGAATTTCTGTACATAGAAAAACACTTAAATTATTAAATTGCCTAAAGCTTTTTCAAGCAAAATATTAATTTTTCTTATTTCAATATGCAATTTTAAACACATTCTTAATAATGACAATAATAAAAGATAATGTTTATTACCTGTTCCATATAAGCTCCTCTGACTAGTTTTGCACCAAAATATATATTCTGCCTTTCTGCAAGTTCCAAGTCCAGTACTAAATTGTTATATGCTTCCTAAAAAATAGCCACATGGCATATATAAACACACAAATATAATTCAACAACTTTTCTAGTTTTTATATTTTATAATTATTATTTTTGTAAAACTATTTACAATTTTGCGACAAATTGTGTTTCTTATTACGCATATAAGTTTTAAAGTAGCACTGGTAATCACGACTTTCATAAATGACAGAACATGACAAAAATATTTAATTTTGTAATAAAATGTCTGATGGAAAGTGAATGCAAAAGCACAGTAAGCACAACAATATGAAGAATGAAAAGCCATTTTGATGACTGATATTTACAAGAAATGATCAAATAAATAACCACCAATTGCAATACATGTGTTATAACAATGATAAAGTGACTGGCATACTCTATGAAAATACAAAGTATGTCACATATTTCTGCAGCATTAATGGGAATTCTGGTATCAAAATCTTCAGAAGAGCCAATCTGCTTGTAAATAACATGTTATCTTGTAAATAAGATCCATCTCTTTTCTTTTTCATTTGAACAATTTTTGTATATACCAAACACTACTACTAAAAATATCTACAATTAAAAGAACCCCATTTTCCATGTTCGTAGTTTCTGCATTAAATTTTACCACACACTATATTATAAAACTTGCAATTTTTGCTATTCTACTAATGTTTAAAATGACCATCAATTCTATTACATCATTTTGTAACATTCAAAATCTTCCCTTTTTACACTAAGAGTTGTTAAAAATGTTCATGAAACACTTTTTAGCATTACCGTATATTTAAAAGTGTTTGAATGGAAAGGAGGTGGTAATTAAGATAAAGCAAGAAGGCTGAAGAAAAGGCAAGAAAAACCAAAGGGTGATCTTTCCACTGGCTAGAAACGTAAGTTTTGAAACTTGAATAAATTAGCAGAACTACTTTTTAAATCTGCTGTGTGCTTAACACATTCATTGCCGATCATGCAGTGTTATTGCTGAAGAGCCAATCACTCTCTTGTACGTGGTGTAGGGTGATGTCTCATGTGCCAATTACGTGCTGCAGCTCATTATCTCATTGTTTATATTCAAGTTCAATCAGCATAACATTTTGGATATACAGTACAAAGTCCGCACTCCTAATCCGTAATCCGGACTTGTCAGTACTTTGGTGATTCCGGATTAGGGGTTTTCTGGATTATAGATGATCAATTTAAATTTGGTGAATTGGCATGCAGAAATTATACAATTAAAAATATGAAACCATAATGTATGAAATAAAGAGCAATTATGATCTAAAGTATCAAAATTTACAAAAAAAAAAAGCTTAATATTTATTTGTTTACTTTATTAAACATTTCTTTAAATACGCGCATGTGTAAAGTTGGTGGCTTTGAGGTCCAGATTATAGATCATTCCAGATAATGGACGTTCGGATTACAGACTTTGTACTGTATATGGTGGTATTGGTGTGGAGTGAAGGTTAGAAACTGGTTGTAAATGTTGGTATGCATATAGTGATGGACTGTCGCCAATAGCACGATAAACTGTATGAACTGGAAACCCTGCAAAAGAGTTGTGTAACTCTCTTATTCTTTACACTAACTTTTCTCACTCCTTCAGGAAAGGACAGTGATATGACACTCTCTATAACTCCCTTTTTCAATACGTATTTGGAATACTAATGAATTTTTATCTTTTTTCATGTATTAATAAACAATGTGTTTTGTGATCTTAAAATTTCCGTCTACACCTATGTTGGATGACATGTTAATTAGGTATGATCTCGCTTGATGCTGCGCAGGATACAAGTTAAGAAGAATCATTTTGCTCTCTATTTTTTATTAATTTGTTGTGAAATTTCGAGGCTATAAAAATGTTTTACAACAAAAGATTATGAGTCCTGATGATTTTATAAATTTATTTATCGAAGACAGCCAAATAATTCACATTAAACATGAAACTACTGCTAAAGCCACCTGGGAAAAACTCAGGCAGGTACATGAAAGGTCTATTCTTTCAAGTAAACTATTTCTTTTGCGAAAGCTTTACAGTTTGAAGCTTGAAGAAGACGGATTACTGGAGTTAGTCAATAAACTCAAATCAATAGGTGAGAACATAAAAGCCGAATACGTTTCGGCACTTTTGCTTTGTTCAATGCTTAGTTCTTACGATATGCTTATTACGGCTCTTGAAGCCAGAGCAGAATCGGAACTGAATCCAGAATTTTTAAAAGGTAAATTAATTGACAAATTTAACAAGAGAGTTGAAAATAGTTCATCAGATTCAAAGGCATTAAAAGCATCAAAAAAAGACAAAGAGAGAAAAGTTTTGCTCATATTGTCATAAAAATAACCATTTTAGATCAGAGAGTTATCATCTAAAATCGAAACAAAAAAATGAACGGCGCCAAAACTCAAAGAAAGCATACGCAGATTCTAAAACACGCCAAGTAAAGAATGTCGGTAACCTCGCGATGAATCAACAACAAACAAAAATTAAAACACCGGAAATCGAATCCAGATGTGACAGCGTGGCTCTGTCTATTAACTATACCGTACATCAATCATCTGAGAGTTTTATTTTCGACAGTGGAGCAAGTAGCCACCTGGTAAATAATAAGAAATATTTCACGGAATGTAAACCCATAAATCCGTCAGATATTATAACTGCAAATGGGCAATGTATTAAATCAACGGCGATAGGAACTGTCCATTTTAAAACATTAAATGCTAAACAAAAAATAACTGAAGTTCTCTTATCGGTAGAAACAAATTTAATCTCAATTAAGAAAATAACGGAAAAAGGACTTTCGGTTCTGTTTAAAGGAAATAAATGTATGATCGCGAAAGGAGATCAGATTATTTTAGAATGTCATGCAACTAATAATCTTTACCAAATTAAACCAATAGACAGGAATAATGAACCATCAGTTCATGTAGCATTTCAGTGCAAAAATGAGAATTGTGTTCAACTTTGGCATAGACGCCTTGGCCACAGAAACGATAACACAATCAAGCAATTTGTAAACAAAGAACTTGCTGAAGGAATTAAACTAGATAATTGTAAACATGATACCAAATGCATTCAGTGCATAAAATGTAAACTAACTGATTTTCCGTATCCCAAAGAATCGAAATTCAGAGCATCTAAACCACTAGAACTCGTTCACACTGATATTTTAGGACCAGTACAAACACCGTCTGTCAGTGGATACCTATACTTCGTAACTTTTATGATGATTACAGCAGGTTCACAATGATTACCTAATGAAAAAGAAAAATGAAATAATTTCTAAACTAAAACAATTTATTGCTCTTACAAACAATAAATTCGGGAGAAAGGTAAAAACACTAAGAAGTGATAATGGTGGTGAGTACACAAGTAAGGAACTTGAAGAATATCTTATAAAACATGGTATAAATCACCAGCTTACTGTACCGTATTGACCAGCACAAAATGGAGTCAGTGAACGCAAAAATAGGTCTTTGATGGAGATGACAAGATGTCTTTTAGCTGACTCAGGTCAACCTCACAGATACTGGGCCAAAGCAGTGCTGACTGCAAATTATTTACAGAATCGTATGCCTACAAAACCAAATGCAAAAATTCCATACGAATTATGGAATAACAAGAAACCTTTAATAAAAAATAACAAAAACTCTCTCATCTGAGGACTTTCGGGTGCAAGGCTTTTGCTTACATCCATAAATCTAAAAGAGGTAAACTGGATGATACTGCTATAGAAGGAATATTCGTCAGCTACAACAGCAGAAGTAAAGGCTACAGAATTTTAATTCCTGGAGACAAAATTATAATAAGTCGATCTGTGCGATTTATCGAAGACACTGGAACTGACGAGCCTGTAAGCATCTCTTTAAGCCAGGATGAAGAAAATTCTAAGGAAAAAAGCTTAGAACGGAAAGAAATAAAAAGAGAAGAACCCGAAGAGGGAGAAATATTAGAACACGAAGAACTTTTGGAACTCAGAAGATCAAACAGAGTCACAAAAGGTAAACCTCCTGAACACTACGGATTCCATGCCAAATATCCAATCTCCTCCGAACCCAAAACTTGGAAGGAAATTCAAAGTTTGGAAGAAAATGAAAAAAGAAAATGGCTAACAGCTGTTCGAGAAGAAATTAATTCACTAGAAGAAAACAACACTTGGGAATTAGTTGATTTACCAAAAGGAAGAAAACCAATAGGATGCAAATGGTCTTTCAAGACAAAGCTCAATGCAGAAGGAAAAATTGAAAGATACAAAGCCATATTAGTCGCAAAAGGATTTAGCCAGAAGTTTGGATCTGACTATGATGAAACCTTTGCTCCTGTAGTAAAATACACAACGCTACGAGCCTTCCTATGTGCAGCTTCGTATAAGAACATATCTGTCAGACATATTGATGTCAAAACAGCTTCATGGAGAACTAGAAGAAGAAATTTACATGACTCCACCCGAAGGATACTCAAAAGCTGGAAATGAAAATAAAGTTTGCAACTGAAGAAATCTATATATGGTTTAAAACAAGCCGCTAGAGCTTGGAATCTGAAAATTGGAAAAATACTTCTAAACAAGTCATTTAAACAAAGTAAAGTAGACCCATGCTTGTTTTACAAAAACATCGATGGAAAATTCACATATATAATATTATATGTAGATGATATGCTTGTAGGAAGTGAAAGAGAAGAAGATGTAATGGAACAATCCAACAATTGAACGCTAAATTCGAAATCAAAAACCTAGGAGAAGTGACTTACTACCTCGGCATAAACATTGAAAGATTTAAAGATGAAACTTTTGCCATAAACCAAAAGAATAAAATAGAAGAAATAGTTCAAAAGTTTGGGCTTCAGAACGAAAAACCAACATATACGCAAATGGAAACAAATTATTGCAAACTAGAAGCTGAAGCTAATCTTCTAGAGGATAATACAGAATATAGACAAGCAGTAGGGGCATTATTATATATTGCAACAATCAGCAGACCAGATATAGCATGTGCAGTCAATCTACTGAGTAGAAGAAAGGAAAAACCTCGGA